GATCCCACATGCCGTGGAGCGGCTGGGCCTGTGAGCCATGGCTGCTGAGCCTGTGCGTCTGGAGCCTGTGCCCTGCAACGGGAGAGGCCACAACAGTGAGAGGCCCGCATACTGCAAAAAAAAAAAAAAAAAAGGTGCCTAGCACCTCAGAAGTACCCCATAATCATTACCTTTCTTTGTCCCCAAAGGTACTAATCCCTTGACTTTTATGGAAATCATTACTTTACTACTATTCATACATTCCTAAACACTAGTTTTGCACACTTTTTGAAATTTATATGCTAAATTATGCATTGTTTTGTGTCTGACTGTTTTGCTCAACATTGAGATTCATTCATTTTATTGCATGTAGCTGCAGTGAGTTTATTTTTAGTAAAGTTTTTTGTTTTTTTTCAATAAAGCTGTATATTGCTTTTTTTGTGTGAATATACTGCAGTCTTTATCCATCCTGCTATCCATAGGCATTTATGTAGTTTCCAGTTTGGGGCTCTTACAAATAGTGCTGCCATGAATTTTCTTATATGTGTTTCTTGGTGCTTATGCCTGAAATTACTGAGTCATAGAGCATAGGTTTGTTAAACTTCAGTTTTTGAAAGTTGTACCATAAGCGTATGAGAGTTCCCTTTGCTCCACGTCTTCATCAACACTTTATATTATCTACTTAAAAACCATTTTAGTGAGTGTGCTATGGAATATCATTATAATTTTAATTTATATTTTCTTGTTATTAATGAAGTCAAGAATGTTTTTGTAAGTTTATGACCTTTGGATATCCTATTTTGTGAAGTGCTTGTTCTAATTTCTTGTCCTTTATTCTATTGGGTTATTTGTCTTTTTAATTTTAATTGATTTGTAGATATTCTTTAGATATTGAGTAAGGGGCCCTTTGGAAGTAACCTGATATTTTCTCTGGCTGGTATTAAGATATTTTTATGTGTGTTTAATTTTCAGAAGTTTATGAATGTTGTGCCTAGTTGTGAATTTATCCTTAATGCGAATTCTTAAACCCATGATTTTGATGTCTTTCATCAGTTTTGAAAATTCTTAGCCACTGTCTTTTCAACTTTTGCTTCTATCCTGTTTTCCATCTCTTCTCCTCTTGGGACTTTAATTAAATTCATGTTAGACCTTCTCATTATATCTCCTCTATCTCTTATTCTTTCCTTTGTATTTTTCATTCCTTTGTTTCCTGTTCCTTTCTGGAAATTTTCTTCATGAATTATCCTTTCATCTTTGCTAATATGCTGTTTAACTTTCAGTTGGGTTGGATTGTAACGTTCAATTATTATAGTATTTTGTTCCAGAAATTCCATCTTAAAGTTCCTAGTTCTTGGCCAAAAGTTTTGATCTTCTCTTTTATATTCTTGAACATAAGAAGCACAATTATTTAGCAGTTTAAGTGTGATAAAACTAATATCTGTAGCCCCTGCGGGCCTGATTTTATTGCTTGGTCCTCTTGCTAATGTTGTCCATGTAGTCTTTTTTCCTCATGTGGCTGGTTATTTTTGACTGTATGCTGGGTATTGTTTTGCAAAATTGCTTGTAGGAATACTTTGAGGTTGAAAATGTTATCTCTTTCCAAAGAAGATTTATTTTTGTTTCTGCTAGGTACTTGAGAGTACTAACAATTTGAGATCATCTCAGCTCAATTTTAGGTTCTGAAATTATTTGAAGTCCCTAGGAAGTTCTGTATTCTTTTGAGTCTCAACCCCAGAGAATTCATCAGGACTTTTCCTGTGCTGACCTCTGGACTAGTAACCTCTTTCTTTTGACCCCACAAGACAGTTAGAGGCATTTATCAGCTTATAGGTCACCCCCTCTGGACTTAGCAAACATCCCAAGGGTTTTGAAAAGCAACCCTAAATGACAGTTCATCTCCCAGGGGTTCCATCATTCCCCCCAAATCCTGGAGCAGTAATTTTACCCTAATTTTTTGTTTGTTTATTTGTTTGTTTGTTTAGTTCTCTGATGCTTCAAGCAGATGTTCTCGTATATTCCTCAGATTTTCAGTATCATATTTGGTTCTAATGATATAGTTTGCCATTATCAGAACCTTAAGTCTCCCATCTTCCCTTCTCAAATTTAAATTCACATGTCTTTCCCTTTTTCCCTTGTATACATTGATAAACCTACAGGTTACTTTAGTACTGTGATTGTACCAGGTAAAATTTTAAAATGGATGATTTTCATTTTCTGGGTCTCACTGCTTCAAATTTTGTCTTTCAGCCCATTCAGATGTTCACACTTCTACCCCACTTCTACCATTCATTATCACTGACCTCTTATCAATCAACTTCACCTTTTTTCTTCTTATCAATAATCTTCTCTCTTATCAATAAACTCCATCTCTTCCCTCAAGGTAACATCTCTATATAGGCTACCCTTATCACCAAAGCTCAATATGACCTTTTTTTTGAAGTCCTCCACCACATTGTGGGTAATACAAGTTTAACAGTTAACCAGGTATATATTAATTAATTCCTTAACATTTTGTGTGTGTGTGTGTTGTGAAGTCCTTGAGGGAAGGCACATATTATCTTCTTTATAATCTCCTCAGCTTCTAGTCCTGTACCTTGAACATGGTGGGTACTCAAAATATTTAATTGATTGAGCATCTCAGGTATGCCTTGCAAAAATTGTGCCATACCTAGGCCTTCATATCACAGCATAGCACAACGTCATGTACATCACATCACAATGCATCCCTGTATTTGAAAGGTTCTACTGCCTTCCCTGCTCACAGACCTAATCTGGGAGCCCCCACTGAAGGCATATACCCAGTCATGAGCCCCATTTCCCTATTATAGCTGATTTGACTGGGGTATATCCCTATCTAATCCCTCATCAGTTCTTCTGTCAAGATTTTAGATAGAGATATGGAGCTTGAAACTGAAATGCTTCAATCATAGCATATCTGTAAAAAGGTCATATAGATTCCATGTAAGAATCCAGAAAGAGGAAGTAAAATTATGGAGATAAAGAAACGGTGAGTAAGCAAAGGAAGCTGACCAATAAAGCAGAGGAAAAGAGATTTTATGCAAAAAGACTGAAAGAGTTGAGCGTCCATGTGGCCTCTGAGGGTCAGCTTTTGTTCCTAGCAATTTCCCAGTATCTTCTCCCACAGTGCCTCAGTCTCTGTGTCTGTGATTTTAGGCCTTGCATCCATACCTGAGGTATGTTTTGTGGGCTTCTATTTCTGGTAACCAAAGTGCATGGACTAGAATAATAGTGCCTGTATCCTTAATTCTATCAGTTTGGGTGCTTTTGGTTGCATGTAAACTAAACCAGCTCTGGCTCTCTTAAGCAAAATAGGATATATTGAAAAGACAAAGGGAGCCCAGAACCATCAAGTGGCTAGAGGATCAGGTATGGCAGACAGACAGGAACTAAGCAGCACTGGAGGACGAAGAATAGGAAGCTCAACAACTACTTTTAGCAGGACTTGTCTGGCCAGAGCACTTCCACTCTTGCTGCTGGACACTTTGTGCCACCACTGGACTCCACTGCTAGATGCTGCTGCCGCCTTTGTGATGCAGTTCTCTTCATTCCTTCTTCATGTGTCATTTCTCTAAGACTGAAGCTACTGAATAGGAGTGTCTGATTGTCATGACTGACTGGGTGGGTCCCATGTTTTCACAATTATCAAAAGGCAGGGAGGGAAGGATATTGTTCCTTTGGGTTTTGTAGTGGGAAGCAGGGCCCTGTTCCTGATAAGAGGACACACAATGACGAGGAGGGGAATCCTCCAAGAGGAGAAGGAGATTGGATATTATTGGGCAACCAATAATGGCAAAGACAACATGAGTCTCTACAGGAAACTTCTGGGTTAAGATGAATATACTAGAAATGTAAATCTTTATATAAGGTTGATGGGATGCAAAATGATTTTGTGGGGGAAAGAAATAAAGCAATAGATTTGGAACAGCCCCTCAAAGATGGGATGTACAGCTAGCATGTGCCTTTTCCCCCTTTCCTCCTTCTTTATCCTTCCTGTCTGAAATATGGACATGATGGCTGGGACACCAATAAATGCGCTGGAATCTTAAAAATGGAAGCCATGAAAGAAAGATGGCTGAGTAGAAAGGAGCCCACGTGCCGCAACTAAGTAGACAGAGAGCCGCAACTAAGGAGCTCACCTGCTGCAACTAAGACCCAGCACAAACAAATAAATAAATATTTAAAAAAAAAAAAAACATGGCTAAGTAGAAAGATAAAAGTCTTCTGTGTCTTGATAATGAGGGAGGCACCATACCAGCCTCCACATTTCTTTTACACGAGTAAACCCATGTGTATTCAAGGCATTGTGGTCTGGTCTCTGTTTGTAGCAGCTGAACACAATTCCTAATTGATAGAGCCATTATTATTATTATCGTGATTGTTGTATTGGCCACCAGATTGAGTCTTTAGCAGCATGGCTATTGTTCCCTGATTTCAGAATTCCTGTCACTCCCTATGTTCTCCAAAAATAACTGAGAGGTGGACAGTAATTTTTTTAACAATAAAAAGCACTAAAATGAATTGGGTATAGATTTTTTAAAAGACTTTCACAATGCACTTTGAGAAACTAGGATATTTCCTGGCATATAACTTGCTCTCCGGTAAGGGTCCTTCACTGCAAATAAAGAGGAACACTGTTTTAAGAGCATATTACATCCATTCATTAGTGATAGTGATGTGGGGTGAAGGTAGAAACTGAAGCATGAAAATCCAAAATAGAATCGTAAGAGTAGTTTTGATTTTTGATTTTTTAGAATTTTGTATCTTCATTTGAAAAATATCTAAAAACAAAATCAACTTGTGAATATTCAGCTTGGGGTAGGTCAATGTCTAGGTCCCTCTTCGTGGCATACCTCCGTCAGCACTGCTCAGTTCTTCCTCATTCCCTTTGCCTCTGGCATGGAGCGCAGACAGCATCTCTCTCACTCCAGCCGTGTATAAACCAGAGAGGCTGTCTTCTTGTTGAGATCGTTCTATTCATTCCCTTTTGTTTTCTTTGTCAGAGATGAGTGCTGGGGTGACGGTGACAAAAAACGAGGTAGAAGAGTGCTGCAAGTGCTGAAGAACTAACTGACAAACTGTTTAAAGGTAATTAGGTGTTTTGTTTTCTTTTTTTCCATCTCTTGTTGGATTACAGGCTGCATTTAGGAATAAAGTGAAACATGTTGGTAATATTGCATGGACGTGAAACAAAGGAATTAATTAAGGAGAGGAGGCAATAATAGAGAAGAAAACTTTAAAGGGTGGCTTAGCACAGATTATCCACAAGGAAAGTGTTGGCAATACAGAGTATACTCCAATTGGCAGCAAGTATGGTGTTAGCCAGAACATTAATACAGGCAACAGAGGCTCTCAGAGACCAAAGTCTAAACCATGGGGAATGATATCATCTCATCTTTCCCAGGTAAAATTTTCTTATTTTCTCTTCGAAATAAGATTTCAAGCTCCCAGAGGGCAAAGCACCACATTCACATAAGCTAACCTACCCGCCCCCCCCGCCCCGTTATAACACACAGCAGAGAACTTTAAATAACAACTGCTTAACAAGTGTTCCATAATGAGGTCTGCAAAGAAAGGAGGCAAGTGTTGCTAAGTCATTGACTATAAAGGGCACTAGTGGTGGTAGTGGAGTCTGAGTAGCCTGGTCCAGGGCCCTGCTGGGCGATGAGGTAGACAGCATGGTGCCATCTCACCAGGCCAGAGCCAGAGCTGGGTTTTCTGCTCCCATACCCATCCCTCCACTTACCAGTATGTGGGGGGGGAGTTCCCAGCCTGAATTTAAGTGTCCACCCCTGGCATTCAGGCATGTCCAGATATTTCTGAAGGCAAAGAGAAAATGGGTCTCTGGAATGCTGTTTCTCTGAATAGCTGAGGAGCTCTGGGATAGAATAAGGTCAAGGAATACAGGAGCCAGAAACAATTTTGTCCAATCAACAGAGCCTTAGCCATTTGTGAGGAAAAGGAGGAGTGAGCCTTTCTGGGTAATAAAGAATAGAGGTGCATTTGGGATGCCCCAGATGCTGGTGATGTGTTGCAGGACACAGGGGCAGGTGGGGGACCACAGAAAACACTGCAGGCAGACTTCCTGCAGACCAGGAATGTTGATCAGAAGAAACAGCCACTCCAGCAGTCTCTCCTTTCCACGTGGGTCAGCTTCTGCTTTCTTTTAACAGCGTATTCTTCAAAGAGCATGATAAACCTCCCTCCCTGTACTCAGCTTCTCTACCCCTCAGGGCTGCTCTTCACTCATAACTTCAAATCCCATGGATACTGCTTTCTTCTTTCCATCTGAAGTTTCTCCGCTCCTGTCTTCCCTACAGCTTATCTCAGAGGACCCCCTTGGGCCAGTTAAATCGTCGTGCAGGATGGAACCTTCTTTTGTCATTATCTTCCTGCCAAGTCATGTCATGTTATGAGTCAGAAAACTGTTTGGTCTTGCAGATGGGATTTTGGTGTCTGAATCCTACCATTCATTCCTTCTCTACTCAGGAGTTCCCTTGCTAAGGGAAGATATCAGAAAGGAAAAGAGCCAAATGGAAAACAAAGCACTATTTGTATTAAGCATTACCTTGTCTACCACACGATGGTAAAAATTGCCTTGGAAAATGTGGCTGAAGCTGAGGATGTTCAGCGAGGCTTCCAGCTTCTTCCCCCTGAGTCTGTCCAAACAGTCTTCTCAGGTGGAGAGTCTGGAATGGAAGATGGAGGAGGGAAGCCAGGCCTGACTCAAGGGCATGAGCCCTGCCAGGTGGGAAACATCCAGTATCATCTGAGAAGCTAGACCCACTTATGGAACCAACTAGTTGGAAGAAAGGAAGCAGAAGTGAAGAAGACAAACATTGATCCTGACCATGAAATGTGACCCTCTTAGAACCTCACTGTCTAACATGGGAGCCACTAGCCACATGTGGCCACTGAATGCTTGAAAACATGGCAAGTGTGAAGTGAGATCTCTCGTTAAGTGTATAATACAAACTTGATTTTGAAGACAGTACAAAAGAATGTAAAGTACCTTATTAATATTTTGTATATTGCTTATTTGTTTAAATGATAATATTTTAGATATATTGGGTAAAATAAAATATATTATTACAATTAATGTCACTTGTCTCTTGTTCCATTTTAAAAACATTGGTTACTAGATAATTTAAAATTACATATATGGCTCCCGTGATATTTCTATTGAGCAGCATCATTTTAGTTCAAATGTGTCAGCTGTCTGGGGAACAGGGAGAAGGGAGGTGGGGAGAGGCAGGGCTGCAGTGGGGAGAGGCCAGCATTGCAGATCTCTGGTTCAATCAGCAGTGGCCAGGGTCACAGGGTCACATGATCCAGAACATGGCAAACCATGTGGAAGGAACTGCTTGTGGCTCCTTTGCTCAGAAGTGGACCCTGGGCTGGGCAGGCACCTGGCATCTTAGATTCTTCTCCATTATTATTAAATAAAAGTTATTTTACTTGTTCATCTATTCAACAGACCTCTATTGAACTCCGACTGCGTGGTGGCACTCTTCTAGGCTCTGGGAATACAGTCTTGGGTCACACAAGAAGAATCTGATCTATGGAGTGGATGCTAGCAAGGGAAAAAAGGCAATAAACAAATAAGAAACGCAGTCTACCTGTGCCATAGGGGACAGTGCTGTGAAGCAAAACAAGGCAAGTTAAGTTTACAGAGAGTACGTGGGAGTGGGGTGCTATTTTAGAGGGTGGTGAGGGGAGGACCTCACTGACATTTAGCGGAGACTAGAAGACAGTGAGGGCGAGAGCCCTGAAGATACCTGGGGGAAGAGAAGACCCTACGGCAGGAGAAGACCCTACGCAGCATGTTCAAGGACAAGGCAGGAAGGCAATGTGCATGCAGCATGGCGAGAGGGTAGGTGCAGGAGTGAGGGCCCTGGGTCATTTCCTCAGATCGATGGGAAGCCATTGGAGGGATTGGAGCAGAGCAGTGATGTTGTCTGTCTAGGTCTTAAAAGGATAAGTCTGGACACTTACTGAGAATTAAGTGGGCAGGCAGAGCCAGAAGCAGAGAGCCCAGTTACAAAGTTATTATAATAATCTGGGAGAGAGACAGTGAAGCCTCAGGCTAGGGTCGTAACAGTGACGCATAGGTCTTGGAGGCAGAGCTAAAAGGATTTGCTGATGGACTGGATGTGGGGTGTGGGGGAGGGCCGGAGTCAAGGATGACTCCAAGGGTCCTGGCCTGAGCAATTAAAAGGGTGCCGCTGCCATCAGCTGAGATGGGAAGAGTGGGAGGGGCGGGCTTCATCAGGAAAGACGGGGGTCACTTTGGGAGCCGTTCGAGTGTGAGATCTCCAGCAGACAAGGAGACGAAGGGGGATGGCAAGTAGGCAGTTGGATATATGAGTCTGGAGTTTTGAGAACAGGTCAGGGCATGAGAAATCAATTTCTCAAACCTCAAGGAACAAGTGAGAGTCATAACATAGAGATAATATCTGAAGCCCTCAGAGATTACCTGAGGAGTGTGTATAGCTGGAAAAGAGAAGGCTGCAGCCTGGGACCCCTTCTCTGCTTAAGGGTGGGGAAGACAGTGAGGAACCAGCAACAAAACACAAAAAGAAAATGGCCAGTGGGACAGGACTGGGAGCCTGGGGACTGGTGCCCTGGAGTGCTGGCCTTCACACCCACATCTGTCTGATTCCAAAGATCACACTTCACTGCCTGGCATCTATTTTAACACTCATGGCAAAGACTTGTTTTGATGTCTGTCTCCCTCTTGTATCCCAGGTCTAATACAGATTCTGGCATTCAGTAAACTCAGTAAATATTTGTTGAATAAATTAATAAGCATTTAAAAAAGGAGAAAGTGTATCTGACATATTTATGTTTTTTGTTTTTGTTTTTTGCGGTACGCGGGCCTCTCACTTTTGTGGCCTCTCCCGTTGCGGAGCACAGGCTCCGGACGCGCAGGCTCAGCGGCCATGGCTCACGGGCCCAGCCGCTCCGTGGCATGTGGGATCTTCCCAGACCGGGGCACGAACCCGTGTCCCCTGCATCGGCAGGCGGACTCTCAACCACTGCGCCACCAGGGAAGCCCTATGTATTTTTCATATGCATTGAAATGCAATTTTTTTTAACACATATTCTGTTGGGTTAGGGGGAGGGAGGGGGAGGGTGACAATGGGGGATGGCAAAGGGGCACCACTCAACACAGCCTTGGTCCACCTTTGCCCTGTGCACAGGCAGAAAGTACAGAGACTCCCGCTATCCTTGCAGCCCACGAACCACGTGAAGGGTGAAATCACCGGCAGGCAACCCAGGCATTTCCATTGTCACAGTCACTCATGCTCCCGTCAGGGGACTTAGCTGAGGTGTCACCAGACCCAGAGCTCAGCCCTGCATCTGTATGAAGCGGAGTGCCCCCAGGAATCATCCTCCACATTGGCGTCTCTCTGGAAATCAAGCTCCGTTTTGTGCTCAGCCAGAGTGTCTGGATGGCTGCTTTATTATTGATCAAACAGGGCTCTACAGAGAGCCGCCCTGAGATGTGAAAAATCTTAAAAGGCTCTCTTGGCTATGATCCAAGTCGGAGAAACAAGCCCTGAGCTTATTTCAGGACCAGAGGCCTGCCGGTGTGGAGACAGAAGCTGAAAACCTTTCTATCTGACTGCGCTGGACCAGGAAGTCTGTGTAGCTTCCACTCCACGCTGTAATGCTTTCATTACTGTGATCAGAGCAAACCACACACACAACACTTCCCAGACCATGCTTCCTCCCTTGGCGATACGGGGGAAAACATCAGCCATTTGGATAGCCGCCAGCATCTGGGTGTTCAGCGCGGTGTGATGAGTCCTCACTGAGCCAGCATGGGGCTGTTGCTTCCTGCACGTGCTTTAAGGAAGGTGTCTCCCAACTTCTCAATATCAGTGCATAGGGAGGATGCAGATCTCTCTTGAAGAAGGCCTACTTAGGAAAGGAGAGAGAGAGAAATAGGGATTTTGACCAGGCATTTCATACTCCTTTCTCCATTTACTCTGCATACATAGTATGAATTTGACCCCTGCTGTGAATGCTCTGAGAACTGATGAAACTCACATGCTTGTGAGGAACAGAGGCTGGAATCAGATCCAGGAAAATAGCAGAGGTGAGATTCAAACCCACCACTTTATGCTGCTGAGGTGAAAGCTCTAGAAAGAGAGTGGCTAGAGAGAAAGCTGAGGGGATTATTGATGGAATCACAGCAACTGGAGGCGCAATCTCCCCTCCTCCAATTATCCTTCCCCCAGACTGGGAAAAAGAATGGCACCTTGTTTAAGAACTTTCTCAATCAAGCCCTTGTAAATGGTGATTTCACATCATCAGCAGGGTCTTTATGTAGCTAAAGGAACAGCCATTAAGGAGTGGGAGGTTGGTAATAGGTCCATTTTTTATTCTCAGTGGTGCAAAGGGGTACAATTTGAAAGGAGTTTGGGGATTGGGGGAGAAGAATTAAACTAATACTGGTGTTCATAGTGATGTAGTTTATTAACTCCATTGTGGGCTGAGATGGCCTTGCAAATTATGGAATAGGTAGTAAGGTTTCTTTTCCTTCTTATGCTCTGAGAATTAATGTTCATCCTTGGAAGGTATGTGTGAGTGTGTGTGTGATATCTCTAGGGCTCTTTGTGTCTGTGTGTTTGTGTCTGATTAAAAAATTGCTTCTAGACCTGAACCATCTACTACAGTAGCCATGAACCACATATAATAACTATTTAAATTTAATTTAATTTAAGTTAAAATTAAATGTGATTAAAAATTCAGTTCTTAGTCACACTAGTGACTAGTGGACAGCACAGACATGGAACATTTCTATCATTACAGAAAGTTACATGGGACAGCATTGCTCATGACCCTCAGAAGAACAGACAGCAACTCACACCTGCAGGGTGACCTCAGAGGGGACCAAATTTATGCCAAGTCATACCTGAATTGTCTTGGTGCCCGATTCTAGATTGATGAATTGAACAAATGGATGAATACATGTGATTACTGTAGTGAGATGGCCGTCAGGGTGGGAGGCTAAGCACAGAGGAGTAGTAGTAGGCGTTTTAGACAGGAAGCATGGAGTTAGGGGTGTGAAGCCTGGTGTGTTTGGGGGTAAAGGCCATGGGGATGACGGAGGTCAAAGCACTGTGAAGCAAGAATGTTTGGTGAGTCACCGCGGGTGACCTGTGTCTCTTCTTTCTGTTGACTGGAAGAAAAGGGGTGAGGGCAGAACCGGCAGATGGTGCCAACACGGCCCTTCCTTCTTACACAAGCCTCCTAAAAAGTGGTCTACTCTTGTCTGCTTTCTCACCGAGTTCTTCTGGGATTGGCTCTGGACCCTGAGGGAGGCATCAAATACCTTCCCCCAAGGGTCCCTGTATTAGTTTCCTAGGGCTGCTGTAACAAAGTGTCACAAATTGGGTGTCTCCAAATGACAGAAATGTATTCTCTCACAATTCTGTTGGCTAGAAGTCCAAAACCAAAATGTCGACAGGGCCATGCTTCCTCTGAAGATTTTGGGAAGAATCCTTCCTTGCTTCTTCTAGCTTCTGCTGGATGTGGACCATCCTTGGCATTCCGTGGTTTGTAGATGCATCCCTCCAATCTCTGCCTTTGTTTTCACATGGTCTTTTCAGCCGTGTGCAATACCCCTCTGTGTCCAAATATCTCTCTTTTTATACGGACATCAATCATATTGGATTTAGAGCCCATTCTCACCTAGTATGGCCTCATCTTGACTTGATTACATCTATGAAGACCCTATTTCCAAATAAGGTCACATTCACAGATTCCAATTGGGCATGAATTTGGAGGGGGCACTATTCAACCCAGTATAGTCCCTGACTTGGAGGAGCCCCTTACCTACTGGTTTAATGCAAGTAGAAATAAAGATCTTATATTTGCACCTTATTCACTTAACTCATTTTAGAAAGTTTCCCAGGATCTACCACGCCCAAGGCTGTAGCTGGAACCAGGGGCACTAGAGACACAGCCTTTGACCTTAAGCTTCTTGCAATCTCACATGTGGCTAGCTCTGAATTTGTTTTCCTTTGTGAAGGTGATAGTGAGTCAGGACTGTCTTGTGTTTCTAATTTATGGAGT